ACGACGTTGATTGAGGGATTTCATCACTGAGATTATTGAACGAGAGATTGATAGGCGAATTCACCGGAATAGTTTTCGTGAATTCTGAAGATACAGACCCAGAAACCTTGTTGTATCAATCCATCTCCACCTAAATCATCAGGCAAAGACCCATTGTAGAGATTCGAAGACAGATCTAGAACCTCCACAAAATCAAACCCACTCGAAATTCCACCGGAAAAGTTTGGGACTCGCCTGTTTTCTACTTTTTGGTGTTTTATTGAGAGAGATTAGTCGGCTATCTTCGTCTCTCTGTTCTTGCCCGTTAGGGTTCTTGAGAAAAGAAAACAGGAGGAAAAGAAAAGCAACAAAAAAAAAAAAAAAGAAGAAGAAGACACAAAACAACGTCGTTTTAAGACTACCGCAGGAAACGTCGTAGAATTCCACGGCAGAGGATCGGGACTCCTCGAGAGACAACAATGATACATTTTTTTAAAATAAAAAATATTTAGTGGTTTGAATTTACGTGACTCGTATGGTTTGAAAACGAAATTGTTTTATATTTAAAACGATATCGTTTTATGAAATTCAAATCATTTGACTTATAAAAATTCGAATCACTTAGCATTGTTGTTTTAAAATTAGAATTCTAATTGGATTTTAGTGAGGTGAAATTTTTTAAAAAATAAGGCCAAAATATCACATTAAATGAGCTTCACAAACATATTAAAGCTATTAGAACTCACAAATTAGAGTTCCAAAACATTTTGAATTTGAGATTGGCTCAGCATAGGGTCTGATTCTGGTGATTCGGGGAGTAGATCAATTATAAAAATAAATAATTTTATCTGATAGTTCTAATCGCCTGATTTTATCACTTAGGCCTTGTTTGTCATAATCTAAAAAAGTCAAAAAGTCACTATCCTATTTAAGTCACATCGTCTTATTTAAATTATATCACCTCTCTACCACATTACTTCAAACCCAACCCATATTTCATAAAAAGTCAAAAAGTGCATTTATTTAAAATATCCCAAACAACCCCTTAATAATAATAATAATAATAATAATAATAATAATATAATTATTATTAAAGCAAAATTTACTTTATCTCCTTATGGTTTGAGTCAGGTGTGGATTATCCTCTTAACATTTGTAAATCATCACATAATCCTCCTGTACACTAAAAAGCACACTAACTTCTGTTAACAAAACGTATAAATTTACCTTTATGCTCCCATCTTCTTCCTCTTCTCTTTTTTAAATAAATGGACAACTATTATAGAGAAATTAGCTTTGATATATATATATATATAGATTGTATAATCTATATACACATACATACATATTATATATAACTACACATTTTCTCTTCCAAAGTCTCAAGCACGAGCATTTATTAATTTTTTTGCATATAATCTGTAATCTACATATAATCTTCAAAGTCCCACATGTAAATTTACCTGCAAATTGCATATATATAATCTGTATATATAATGTGTAGCTATATGTATGTATATATATCTCTATATATATGTATATATATTCTTAAAATCTATAGCTAAGATTTCCATAATACTTCTTTCATGAAATCTCAAAATTTTAAGGTTGAATGACCCCAAATTTTCTTGTAACATTTCTAATTGCCTTTCATCTGCAACCTCCACGGTTTTGACTATGGTATTAGCAATCATCCATGCAGTATAAGGGAACGAAAATAAGGGAATAGGTAAAAAAAAATGGAAGGCTACTGATGGCCTCAAACCTTAGTTGCCTTCATTGTTGTCGCGATTTGAGTTGGGATGAGCAGCGACTGACGATGGTGGCTGGACGATGATGGCGAGAGAGAGAGAGAGAGCAAGCAAGGCTAGCAACGGTGGCTTTGGATTGGGGTTGTCCAAACCTGCTGGGGGTGGTCGACTGTGGAGGTCACAGTGGAGTTGACTGTAGAGTGGCTCTGGGTTGGGGTTGACTGAGTTGGGTAGTAAGAAGCTCAAAAAATTTTGATAGTAAGAAGATTAAACCATATTTCATCTTCTTTTTCCTTTTCTTTTTTTTTTTTTTTTTTTTTGTAGGTAGAGGTTTACAGATCTGGATATTGATGGTATTGTTTATAAATTTGAAGATATACCAAGGCTATTTTCGTCTTAAAAATAGTGTTACGCTCCTTGTAAGCGTGTGACTCTCACAATGTGTTATCTTTAACGGGAAAGCTAACTGTGCGTTTTAGTCCACAAATCACATGATGATTATGTGGTGATTTCCGAATGTCAGGGAGGTAATCAACACCTGGCTCAAACCATAGGGAGATAAAAGTAAATTTTGCCCTTATTATTATTAATATTAAATGATCAAGTATGATCCAAAAAAAAAAAGCAAAGAAAAAAAAGATTGTCACTATGGATATGATTATTAAAATTTTAATTATTTTTTTATTAATAATTTATATAGCAATCATATTTATTTTACAAATATATATGTTTTATTTTATTTTTTTCACACCATCTCTATTAGTTTCTACTTTTTCTTATTAAGGCCTCGTTTGGGAACGGGCTAATTTAATTATTTTTTTGAATTTTTAAATGAAATATGATATAAAAAAAATTAATATGTTTATGATGAACTTTTTGGATGCTACCTAGTACATATAAAACATTACAATATATTTGAAAACATATATAAACAATATATATTTGTAAATATCAATTCATAGGGTAATGTTTAAGTGTGCAACCTCCTTAAGGTTGCACACCATATGCACTCTAAGTATTAACCCTTGGATTAGAAAGAAATGATCAGGACCATTGAATTATTTAATTGTGGAAAATGGAAACCTAGGCAACCGGTTAACCCTTTCGACTTTCTTTTTTCCCTCAGCAACTCTCTTTTTCTTCTCTCGTTTTTTTTCTATTCTTCTTTGTTGCTCTCGCCATTTGTGTAACGTCACTGTGTAACACTTGATTTCCAACAACAACTACCAGCCTTTGTAACGCCCTCAAAATAAACGCATCAATCATATATTCTTGACATAAGAGAATAAGGCATAATTACATTTCATCAGAGTTCTCATTACAAAATGTATTACATGTTGACAACTAAAGTAAATGCCCTATGGACTTACAACTTTCCAAGCCAACACTTGGTTAGAAAAAGAGTGAGTACTAACTCAAACAGATAATAAGCCCTTGGCTTGATACATATGTAATACAAAAATACAACCACAAAAGATGTCCCAGCCACTAAGCCTCTCAAGCTACGTCCTTGGAGGTGGCATGCTGCCTGTACCTGAAAATGATGTCCCATATAGGAT